GTTAATACCAAAGGCGCAGGCAACTCGGGTGTGGATCCTATGATGCGTAGCCCGCCTTGATATACAAGTTGGACCCGCTAGGGACAACTGACTTCAACTTAAGTAACCCAGGTGCATACAGGTCGGGCATATGCTCACTATGTTGATCACCTCGGTGTACATTATAAAATCATCCCTACTAAGTACAGGGAAATAGCTTGCGATGATGATAGTCGGGAAACCCCACTTCAGGCGCTTATCCCTAGCAGTTCGGGTGAAATAGTCACTTCGACAAAAGAAAGATTCGCACAAATACTTAGCAGGAAAAAGAAACATTTCATTACTAGTTTTTAAAAAAAAAAGAAGAAGAAGAAGAAATCGGGCCTAACATCCCGGGAGAGTACATCAGCAAAGTAGAAAGAAAAGAAAGAGAACCGGGTTCAGCCGCCTGGGAGCAACCACTTCAAGAGAATCATTTTTCAGAAGAAAAAAAAAAGAAGAGCAACCAGCCTCAAGGCCCCACCTCCTTTACCTCCTCGTCACTCTCCTCTAGGGAGTCGGGCTCCTCCTCCTCCGCCGCGTCCGCCGTCTCTAGGGCCAGGTCTCTCATTGTTACGCCCTCAAGGTTGAGGCCAGAGAACTTCTTCCGGATCAGCCACCGGCAAAGCTTGAACCCTGAGCGGTAGGACTTAGAGCCATATTCGACCTGGAGGTCGTGGAACTGCTGGGACTCCTTGAAGTCCTCCACCGCCTTAGCACACTCTGCCTCCACTGCGGCGTCGAAGTTGTGGGTCCTCTCATGGAGCATGGACTCCCTCTCCGCCGCCACCCTCGAAGACTCTTCCCTGGAACGGGTGCTCTCCTTAGACAGACGGGAGATCCGTGCATCCTGGTCCCTAACGAGCAGCTCCTGGGCCTCGCTCCCCTTCTGAGCCTGGAGGAATTCCTCTCAGGCCTGGTCGAGCTCGCGTTGTAGGCTCTGCACGTTCGACCTCTGATTGGCGGCGTCTTGGGAGTGGATAGCAGTCTGACAGGCCATGGCGTGGATGGCAGAGTTCAGCTGCCAATAGAAAGCCGAAGTAAGGGGGGAGAAAGAAAAGAGAAGAGAAGGAGAAAAAGGGAAGAAGCAGGCACTTACCACCATGCAGTGAGTCGAGGCCAACTTGGCGAGCTCCCTATGGTGCATCCCGGCCCAGCTCGCAACCTCATCATGAGTGATCGCCCTCCGACTCCTCCGTGAGGCCACGAGGTAGTTAGTGATGCTTTCGTCCCTTCCCTCGGTAGGAAACCGCAGGAACACGGTGGGGCCGGACCGCACAGCTAAAGGGTATTGCTCCTAAGGTGGGATCTCTTCTTCTTCTTCTTCGCCGCCCCTCGCGGCTACTCCCTCAAAGGACACAGGCAGGACCTCCGGCGGCGGAACAAAAGCAGGATCCATAGCCTCAAATTCGGCAGCCCTAGAAGTGGACGCTTGGTCGGGGCGCGACCTCTTCGCCTTGCGCTTCTGGTTGCTTGATAGAAGGCGACGTGCATCCACACCAGACATGTCGGCTGCAAGAATCACAAGGCATTAGTCCAGTTCAAATAAAAAAATGAGCTAAGGGTGACCTACCTGGGCTCAAGCCAGCCTGCACGAGCTTGTCCTCAGCCAAGTAGTCCCAACAGAGGAAGCCTACCCCTGCCCAAGACTGCAGCATTTCATGAACTTTCGGGTTCAGCTCAACGCCCGGATCCTGAATGGCAGCCCTCCAGTGGGTAGGAAAGGGCCACCCTTCGGGGTTGCGAACTACAAAGTAACCCCACTTCCAGGCTGGGATCCTGTTCGGCATATCATGGAGGAGCTTGAAGCTAGGACGAGAGGAAAAGTAGTACGAGCGTCTCTCTGGAGGGGCTCCAAGGGAGGCATTCTTAATGGACAAGATGGTGGCAAAGATATCAAGGGAAAGAGGAAGACAATACTCAAAAAACAAAGAAATTGTCCCAACCACATTCCGGATTGAGTTCGGATGGAGTTGGTCTATAGTGACATTAAAATGGGTGAGGACCTCTACTATCAAAGGATGTAGAGGGAGTCGGAGACCAGCCACGAGCTGCTCCTCAAAGTCCACGATTTCGTCGTGGCCGTGTTCCCAGGGAAAGTTACCGGATGGGAGGTTGTAGATGAGATCCCTAGGGAGGTTATAGTAAGAGACTAGGGCTCGAAGCCTCTCCATTGACATGGAGGAAGGGCCGAAACTATCAGGCTCCCGACCCCGGGAAGTGGAAGCCGTGTTACCGGATGCCTCACGGGCTTCCGGAGCCTGCCCTTCAGGGAACCCCCAAGCTCCCCCCGAGCTCGAGGGGACCTCACCTTGGTTACCGTCTCGGGAAAAGCCTCCGTGGTACGAATATCTAGACATTGCTTGGACAGAATAGAGGACTCACCAGAAAAGTGGATTGAGAAAGCAACGGAAACGGGGAGAGCTCGAGCAAACAAGGTGAAGACGCGACCTCAAAACTGAATGCAAGGCAAGTTGGCGTAAAGAAAATGAGGCCTGGGGCCCTCCTATTTATAGCCGCTGTGCCAGAAAAACCAACGGTCTCGATCAAAGCAGATCTGACGGCCTACAATAACGCCAGCCGCACGTCCTCCGAAACTGAAGTAAAGACGGTTGCACGTCTTCCCAAATTGAATGCAGTTTGGCGCATTTTTTGGCAGTCAAAAATCCATAAGTCACTTGACATCCGCGCGTATACATCATGCAATGAGTCAACCTAGTTTTGAATATGGGTCAAATCCACCCATCACTTCATGAACTCCCCGCGCCAGAGTGAGACTCTTAGCCCGGGGAGTGGGGGGCAATTGATGGAGGGTGATTTGACCCGACCTCCTAACTAAGAGACATGTGGATATGACTCAACGTAAGTAACAGCTCAGCATCACAGCTTGGCCACAACTCGGCATAATGAGCTCGCTGAAACCCTAGCAGAACAACTCACCACAAGACAGCTCGCTACAGCCCGCTACAGAATGGCTTGCTGCAAGGCAGCTCGCTACGAAGGAGTTCGTTACAAGGGAGCTCGCTACAAAGGAGCTTGCTATTGAGGAACCCGGAGTCTTCGGGTAACGTCTTATCCGACAAGACCATGGTTTTTAGTCTGCTCCCACATCTCTTGTCCGGCGGCGCAACACCTACCACTCCAGAGGACTACGCCCACGTCTCACGTCAGGTGGCGTCGTGCACGCCGGCTCTACATAATGTCTCTCAGGTGACAGGACTGTACCCTGCGACGGATACCTACGCCTATCAAATTAGTCTGACGAATAACGACTGTAGCAGAGAACCAGAGGCGATTACACTCGATTTGCAGCGCATTAATATATAAGGGCTCCGACTCCCAAGAAAAAAGGTAATTGAATTTTTGGTAATCGAATAGTGCGCATCCCCACTCTTAACTCGTCATTACTCTCTAAGCTTCTCTATCAGAGTTCTAACTTAAGCATCGGAGTGTTCCCGCCGGGCGAGCTCCCCGGGAATCCTTCATCTTCTCCTTAGGTGTTGTCCATTGTCAATTAGGAGCGAGGCCCCTTCTAGATAGGAGTGACCAGATTGCGCTACATCAACACCCCTTTCAAAATACCAATCTCCCACGGCATTGGCAATTTTTTGCAAAACACAAAATGAGAGTTTTGGAAAAGAAAAAAGAAATTAAAAAAAAATTAAGTAAAAATCTACAAATCAGAAATTAATTCATGAAAGAGAGATGTTGACCAACCATGTTATCAAGAACAGGGGAGTCTTCCCTCAACCATGTCTCCTTCATTCCTGATTGGCAGTGGGCATAACAAGAATTTATGAACATGCTCTTTCCGGGAGAGCCCTGAACTCTTTTAAGTGCATTTATAAACTCCCTTCTAAACCTGTACTATCAAATCAAGCACTCGCTCAGTTCAGTTGCATTAATAATACAGCTTCCAACCCAAATCAAGCACTCTCTCAGTTCAGTTGCATCAAATCAAACCTCTCCTCCCTTAAATCCACCCCTCTTTAAACCCTTTCACATCTCACCTCCTCCCCCAAAAAACCATGAAACCAGCTCTCCTCCTATGTTCTTCTTCCTCTTCTTTTCCTTGTTTTTCTTCGAAACGAATCTTGTAGTCTCTGCAACTATCCCTCCCCAGTTCTCTCTCCTATCTCTCAAAAACTCCTTCAAGGACCCTCTCTCCTCTCTCCATGACTGGAATCCCACCACCATTTCTAGCTCTCCTTCTTTGACGCCGCCCTGGTGTTCCTGGACAGGGGTTACGTGCAGCCGAGATGCCTCCCAATTACTTCATTTGATCTCTCCTAAAGAATCTCCCTCTAGAAATGCGGTTCTTATCTCAATTGAACCACCTCAAACTCAGCGGAAATTCCCATAAAGGGCATTTTTCCAATGCCATTTTTGAAACTCAGGACTCTAGACATCGGGGGGGGGGGGGGGGGGGGGGTTCGCAGTACAACAAGTTCTCTGGAGGGATACCGGTGGAGTTCGGGCAGTTATCTGAACTCCGATATCTTGACATTGCTGCTGCAAATTTAACTGGTCTTCTGCATAGCTTGGTAACTTAAAGATGCTCGAATCACTTTTTCTATTCAAGAACCGATTTTATGGCCCAATTCCCGTTGGTGGATAGTGGTCATTGAGGTTGGCAGGGCAAGGGCGGAAGTGGTTTTGTTCTTCTTTGATATATTTTTTTAAAACATTTACTTATTTTAAAAATTATATTAAAAAATTTATTTTTATTAATACGATGGCCCAAAAGTTGTCCTTATCAGTTATAATCCCTTTTAGTTTGTTTCTTTTAATTTTTTTCAGATTTATGTAGATATCACTTATCCAAGTAAGTAATATAATAGTAATACCCATCTCCCAAATCCCAAATGGGTAACTAACTTTCCCATTTTAATAATAGATTTTCATGATTAAAACAGTCTTTATTAGAAATAAAAGACCTATCTAGCTAGATAGGTCCGGACCTACTGCCTAAAGAACCATAACTATGATTCCAAAATTGGAGTACAATGAGGGTTTAAGTGACCTTGTATGGCTTCAAGTTGACTGGCTGAACACAAGCCTGCAGTCGTGCCAAGTGCCATGGGGATCAGCAACACCGGTGCCAAACTGTTCTTTACCTGGAATCGAAATGAGTAATAGAAATCATCAACCGCTATTTTTCCACCTCAGGTGCCACATATTGGGGGGAAAAACACTGTAATTTTGTTCAGATTGAAACACTAGTAAATAGAAATTTGGAAAATAAGACATACTAATTAATTAAAATGAACTAGTGCAGTAAGTAAGAATAAGCAAACTTACGGAACCCGGAATGCCCTTTGAAGTGCAGGATGCAGGCAAATTCTTTGCTGATTGCTATGAAAGATGATAGAAACAGACTCAGTGTATCGAAAACAAGGAAGAGGATTCAAATTATCTGGTATTTCATAAATTTTTCTCTTTTCTTTCTTGTTATCTTCTTGATCTCTTTACTAGTAAAATAAGGAAGAGGATTCAAAGAATAGGAAGGGGGAAATTAATGAATAGTTTCTAGGTAGTCAAGAAGCAACGACGTCCACAAGTTCAAGAAATTGCAGGAAAAAACAACCATCTCAACTGACAGAAAAGAAGCATATATATATATATATATATATATATACATGGGTTGTCACGACATCGTTAAAGAATTCTTTTATGCGTTCTGTCCCAGCAATAGTCTTCCTGTTATGAAGCATGACCTTTAGTATTATTAGACATGAATTTGATGATAATTTTCATTATACTTTTCAGAATGATAATAAGGTAAGAGGACCTTAGTTATGGGCTTACGTCTCAATAAAAAAACCAGCATCAGCCATGCATTTTACTTTGACACTCTTAGTTACAAGTTCACGGAACTTATCACAGAGAATGGCTGTTAAACCACCAGCCGAACAACCAGAAAGAAGAGCCTGTAACCAATTTCCTCATGTTAGTAAGTCAAATTTATCTGTAGTAAGCTAGTGCAAATGAAAAGAATGCAAATTCTGCTTTAATTTTGTTTTGGGTTTTACTACTTTATTCTCATTTGTACTGGAATTAATCAAACAAAACAAGGTAGAATTTGAAGCAGTATAAGTAAATTTACACCGCAACCAAACGCATCCATATAAAGGGAATTAAAAACAGTGGAGTACATTTTGTGCATTTTTCATCCCTTTCGCTAGAAGGTCGTCTACAACAGCAAGAAAAATTCTATATCCTCGGAAATGAAGGTCGGTCGCCTGGTAAGGTAGTAAGGTTGATTGACATCAAATCACAAAGAAAATACATGTTGCATGCCTTTAGTTTTATTTTTATGATCATGAAATCGAATTCACAAATGCAATCAAAATCAAAAGGACACACTGGATCAACTTTCTCCACGTCTCCAGTGAATGATGCTCCATCACAATATCGAACCTCGACCTTGTTCCAATTATAGAAATCTGGATTGTGAAATACAGAGACCAAATTAGTCAAATTACTCAGTTTGTAGGAAAATATATACGTATGTATATATAGATAGATAGATAGATAATAACAGCAGATTTTGAAAATTGAAGCAGAATGGTGGATTAAACCAATAAACTGGAAATCCTACCTGGGTTAAATTCTTTGTTCTTGCCCAGAATTCCAGAGAATGAATGTTGCTTAACCATTGCTCTAGAAGAGCCTAGACGAGTGTTCTTGCGGGCAAGACAAGTTGTTACATTGTTACACCACGCTCCTCCCTGAAAAGGAAAGAAAGCATTAAGAAAGAAGGTAAATATATAAATTATAATTAACAAAAAAATACATAAAGCAACAACGTACACTATTTCTAACTACTAGTTGTGTGACTAAAAGAAAGAAATAAACGGAATTCATATGCACAATATATCCTGCATGTGTGTATACAACAAATGATCAGATGTTTAACAAAGATAAGCGAGCATGAGGAAGTAGGAAGTAGCAATTTAGATATGTGACACTTAGACCTCGTTCGCATTTTGGTTAGTTATTTATATGCGTAAATGCACTTATTCAAGTAATTGTTTTTTAGGAAAGATTTATTTGGGTAAGTCCATTTACCCATGTTTTTTTATTTTCCATGTAAACAAGGCAATGATCATTTTATCCATAAAAAATCTATTATTACAAGGGGCATTTTTGTTCCTTTCAAGTGTTGGCAACTTTCCCCCAAGGTGGGAAAGTTATTTACCCACCTAAGAGATGGGTATCACTTACCCGGGTAAGTGATACCTAAGAACAACGTTTTTGAACCGTCGTTGACCCAAACGGTCCATTCGGTCGGGAACCGTCCAGGCAACCAGTTCTGTTTCACCCCAAACTCGGAATCTAGTAAAAAACCGTTGACCCAGGCAATCGAACCGTCAACCTGTCGACCCATTCAACGATTTTTTATCGTTTTTTTTTTTATTTTTTAGTTTTGCTGTTAGAATGGACCGTCCGTTCGAACTGGACGGTCATACCATCAACCCAGAAACCGGTAGCTAGAACGGTTCCGTTTCCGGGTCATTTTTTAAAATGTTGCCCATGAAAATAAACTTTCCTTATTCCCCACATAAATCTAAAAAAAAAACATGGGATTCTTGGTCAATGGGACAAAAATAAATTTCCCACCTAGGAAGAAAGTTGTTAACACTTGGATGGGACAAAAATGCACCATTTAATAATGGATTTTTATGACTAAAATAGTCATTGCCTTATTTACTTGAGAAATAAAAAAACATGGGTAAATGTACTTATCCGGGTAAGTGTTTCCCATGAAAAACTTACCCAGGTAATTGCATTTACCCGAGTAATTAACTTACTGAAAAGCGAATGAGGCCTTATGAAGGGATGAGAGATCCATCATATGGATGACCAAACCCTATAGGTAGGTTGGGCGAAATTTCAAAAATTTTGCTCTCTCCATCTAGGAATCACATTCCCTGTTTTAGAAAAACTGCATTTTTCAATGATCAATCTTGAACTAAGAACTGAACCAGATCTAAAACCAAAAGGTGGAGAGAGAGATACCTGATACGAAAAAACAATATCCTCCAACAAAGGTGTTCACGCCCAAAGAAATCTTCAAAGACTGCTCCCACTGAAGATGGCACAGTGTAAGGGGGAGCAGAATCAACAGTATTCTTCCCAAGAACTGAATCCTTCAACAAGAATTTGATAGAGGCTGTGAGCACGACTTCAGATCAGCCTTTCTCCAAAAGCTGATATCAAGACTCTTTTTGATCGCTCCTACAAGAATGGAGATCGAACTGGCAATTGGCGGCAATTGGAGGAGAACGTAGGGAGAAGATGGCACAGTCACACTGTTGATGTCTTCTCTCTGTGTGATCTAAGATCTGATGATTTGATGTGTCTGGAGGTTCGCCCTCCTCCTTTTATAGCCTTAAAGAGAGCTCCTAATCTCATTAGGAGTTTTCTATTTCAAATATGTATTTGGATTAGGAGTTCTCTTTAAGAGATAAGGATAAGCCCTTATCTTATCTATAGATTAGATCAGCTCTCATAATCTCATTAGGAGCTTTCTAGATCCAAATCTCTATTTGGATCTAGACTCTCTAAGTGGATAGGGATAACTCCCTATTCTATCTGTTGATCCAAATCCCAGATCCTCCCCTCTCTTTAACTAATCAAATTAGACTAGTTCGAAATGGGCTTTAGCCCAATAAGTCTATGTGCTCATTAACCTTCCGAACTGCTGCCCAGTTGGGCTTCTTTGTATGGTGTGGGACCCAAACATTGATCTACACATCAGCCACATGGGTTCAGCCTAGCCTCTGTTACAAGGCCTGGCCGAATTCACTGTTATGTGCAGTGAACCCCTGAGCCCATCACCATGGGCTCTTAATGGGCCCAACACTTACACTAAGTGGTCCCTGGGCCAAGCCACCTTATAAAAACCCAGGGACTGTGGGCAGATGCAAGATTAGCCCATCAGGTATTACCCCCAATGGTCTTACACTTAACCTCTCAGCCCATAATGATCA